CGATCTCGGCTCACTGCAACCTCCGCCTCCTAGGTTCAGGCAATTCTCCTCCCTCAGCCTCCTGAGTAGCTGGGATTACAGGCACACGCCACCACGCCCAGCTAATTTTTGTATTTTTAGTAGAGACGGGGTTTCACCATGTTGACCAGGATGGTCTCGATCTCTTGACCTCGTGATCCACCCGCCTCGGCCTCCCAAAGTGCTGGGATTACAGGCGTGAGCCACCGCGCCCGGCTCATTAAAGAATTCTTAAATTACTATTTAATTTCAAACACAGCTCTGGTAAGGTTCATTATGTAATTTCTCAATGAAAAGAATATAAAAGGAGCCAGGCCGGTGGCTCACACCTGTAGTATCAGCACTCTGGGAGACAGGTGGGAAGATTGCCTGAGTCAAAGAGTTCAAGACCAGCTGGGGCAACATGGTGAAAGCTCACCTTTATTAAAAGAAAAAAAAAAACAAAACAAAACTGCTGGGCAGGGTGGCACACACCTGTAGTCCCAGCTGCCTGGGAGGCTGAGGTGGGAAGATCACCTAAGCCTGGAAGATTGAGGCTATGAGCTGAGCACCAACGCAGTGAAACAGTGAACTCTAGCACGGGTGACAGAGTAAGACCCTCTCTCAAATAATATGAAGAAGAAGAAGAAAAAGAAGAGGAGAAGGAGGAGGAAAAAAATAAATAATAATTAAATCTGTTAAGAGGAAGAGAAAAAATAAAATTTTAAAAGCAGACCATAATGAAAGAAGCTAATGTTAAGTACTGATAAGCAGTCAATCTCCTTTTTGACATATGATAATTATACAAATTTATGGGTGAGCAGTTGATCTTTAAAAAACAAACAATTGGGCCGGGCACGTTGTCTCATGCCTGTAATCCTAGCACTTTGGGAGGCTGCAGCGGGCAGATAAACCTCAGGTCGAAACCCTTAGCGAAGCATTTGCAATTCATACTTATTTTGAGACAAGGTCTTGCTCTGTCAACCAGACTGGAAATGCAGTGGCTCCATCATAGCTCATGTAACCCTGAATCTGGCAAATGATCTTCCACCTTTAGGTCCCTGAAAAGGCTTCAGGCTACACCATACTCCACTAATTTTTTTTAATTTTTGGTAAGAGTGAGATCTCACTATGCTGCTCAGGCTTGTCATCTTCATTTGCCGGGTGCGGTCATGGGCACCAGTAATCCCAGCTACCCAGAAGGCTGAGGCAGGAGTATTGCTTGAACCCAGGAAATGGAAGTTACAGTGAGCTGGGATCATGCCCCTGCACTCCACCCTGGGTGACAAAGCAAGACTCCATCTCAAAAAAAAAAAAAAAAAAGAAAAAAAAACGAGCTTGAAAAGAACACTGGGATTCCAATTTGAACATGTAAGGACACATTTTGTATATTTAAATAATGCCCATGAATTTACAAAAGATAAAGAACTAAAGCCTTAACAGTGTCATCAAGTGGTAGATATTAATAGGTTTTATTTCTTCATACTGTTGCTTAACATATATTTCAGATGCAATAAAAATAAGGACATAGAAGAGAATAATGAAATCAATAATTAATTTAATGGATCTTTCAAATGTAGTATACACTTTTTGTGGGTACAGAGAAAATGATTATCAAATTGTTCATATACTTAGACATAAAGGCTTACTTAACCTGACTTTTGGTAAGTCAGATTTTTTGAGGTATAATTTTCATGCTTGAAGATTCACTGTTTTAGATGTAAAGTTTTAATAAATATACTATAAAATCACATACTCAAAATCACAAACAAGATGTGAACTATTTATATTATCCTTAAAACAAAAAGTTCCCTTGTGCCCCTTTTGTAATAACCAATCTCTACCCCAAATCTCTGCCCCTGGGAATCACGTATCTGATACCCATCTCTATGGTTTTGTCTTTCAAGCCTGTCACATACACTGAATCATACAGTAGGTAGCCTATATTCTGGTTTCCTTAATTTATTAACAGTATCTTTTAAAGATTCACCTAGGCTGGGCACAGTGGCTCATACCTGTAATCCCAGCACTTTGGGACGCCGAGGCAGGCTGATCACCTGAGGTCAGGAGTTCGAGACCGCCTGGACAAGACGGTGAAACCCTGTCTCTACTAAAAATACAAAAAATTTCCATGAAGGGATAAGCATGCTTAAAAAAAAAAAAATACAGTTAGCCAGGTGTGGTGGCAGGCACCTGTAATCCCAGCTACTCGGGAGGCTGAGGCATGAGAATCGCTTGAGCCCAGGAGGCGGCGGTTGTAGCAAGCCGAGATTGTGCCATTGCACTCCAGCCTGGGCAATGAGCAAAACTCTGATTCAAAAAATTAAATAAATAAGGTTCACCTAAACAATACTGCATGTACCAATAGCTCATTCCTTTGTACTGTTGAGCAGGAATTCCATGATAAGAGCATGTGTTATATTTATGATCCAGCAGGGAAATAAAAAGCTAATTATGCTTGGAAAAATACTTTATGAAGTTTAACACTTTATTAAGGACTCGAGGACTCAGCTATTTGAAGAAAAACCTTCCTTCTTTTTTTCTTTTTTTTGAGACAAGAGTATCGCTCTGTTGCCCAGGATGGAGTGCAGTGGCACAATCTTGGCTCACTGCAACCTCTGCCTCCCAGGATCAAGCGATTCTCCTGTCTCAGCCTCTGAGTAGCTAAGATTATAGGCATGCACCACCACACCTGGCTTATTTTTGTAATTTTAGTAGAGATGGGGTTTCACCATGTTAACCAGGCTGGTCTTGAACTCCTGACCTCAAGTGATGTGCCTGCCTTGGCCTCCCAAAGTGCTGGGATTACAGGCATGAGCCATCACACCTGGCCCAAAGGTTCCAAACAGAAAACATTTTTGTGTTTTCACTAAGGCTTCATTTTCTAGCTTGGTCAAAAAATATCTTTTCTTTATTACCATAAATATAAAAAATTAAATACAGCATTACTTTAAAACTAACCTGACATGAGGTTGGGTATGGTGGCTCATATCTGTAATCCTAGCACTTTGGGAGGCAGAGGCAGGTATATCATAAGGTCATATTGAGACCAGCCTGGCCAACATGGTAAAACCCCATCTCTACTAAAAATACAAAAATTAGCCAGGTGTGGCAGCATATGCCTGTAGTGCCAGCTACTTGGGAGGCAGAGGCAGAAGAATTGCTTGTACCAGGAAGTGGGAGGTTGCAGTGAGCCGAGATCGTACCACTGCACTCCAGCCGGGAGACAGAATGAGACTCCTCTTAAAAATAAAAAAAATTTTAAAAAAACATGAAATGCTTCTATTATCAATTTGATAGGTACTTTGGGGATTCATTCCTGTAAGAAGCATTTGTAAAGTACCTATTTTGAATCAGACATTCCTCCAAGGATAGTGAAACTAAATAAATGAGGAACGTAGTGGACTCTCAAGAGGCTCCACTTGGTGTGAGATGCAGAAGTGCAAGAAAATCAAGCTTGCAGCCCAAAGCACATCATCATCAGCTCTGCTTGGGAAACCCAGGAAGGTTTCATAGAGCAGGAGATGAGCCTGTCAGAGCTTACCAATGGCTGTGAGTGGGCACTGCCAGTGGAGAACACAGGCCATCTACAAGTTAAGACAACTGGAGACATTTAAGACACTTGGCATGTTCAAGGTGTATGGGGGAGACAAGTTTTGAAAAAACGCCAAAAGCAAGTTCCCGGCACTTCCTATGTAGGAGGTAAGCACTGTAGATGGCTCATTTTTTAAAGCACAGTTCAGTATTTCAGCAAGAAGTCAAATGCATAATCTTTCAAGCCATAAGACACCTGGGATGGCAGCAACAGAAATGTACTTTGCGTTCTCTATGAATTAAGTAGGAGATTTTTTTTTTATTTCCTAAGTAATATGTACAAGGGTTTTAGCACTAACAATTATCGAGAGTGTTGTTAAAACTGGTAAATCCAAAAGTTCAAAGACAACAAGACAGCATGTCAAAGTCAACTGTCTAAATATGGCATACATGAAATAAGTGAGAAGACGAATGCTCCTGTTGTTCTTCCTATGAGCAGAATGACTCACTGCTGCTCGTGACAAAAATGGAATGATGAGCCTGGCCTTCAAGTATAGAATAAAATAAGAAAAGAGAAGCTGTCATATGTTCTTCATCCCTTAATCCCCACCCCCAAAAAAATCACACCGAAATGTGAACTTCAGTCCTGTCCTTTCAAAGAACAGACTAGTAAATTTAAGTTGAAAAACTAAACATTCAAATGTCTACAACAGCAAAAGAAAGAGTTGCATTATCACACATCAATACAACAAACAGTAGTACTGTGTGCCAGGCACAGGATGAGTTCTTAGAACACAAAGGTGAAAAACTTACTAGAGGAGCTTATAGTTGTGGCAACAAGATGAGGAAAAAGATATATCAGACACAAAAATATAGAACTGCAACTCTGAGTGAAATAAGCAACTCACAACTGCAAAATAAGCTGTATGCGGTCAGGCACGGTGGCTCAGGCCTGTAATCCCAGCACTTTGGGAGGCCAAGGCATGCATATCACAAGGTCAAGAGATCGAGACCATTCTGGCCAACATGGTAAAACCCCTTCTCTACTAAAAATACAAAAATTAGCTGGGCATGGTGGCACATGCCTGTAGTTCCAGCTACTCGGGAGGCTGAGGCTGCAGTGAGCAGCGATCGCACCATGGCACTCCAGCCTGGCAACAGAGCAAGACTCCGTCTCCAAAAAAAAAAAAAAAAAGTAGGCTGATGTCGTAGCAGCCACCTGTCATCCCAGCTACTCAGGAGGCTGAGACAGAAGAATCACTTGAACCCAGGAGGCAGAGGTTGCAGTGAGCTGATATCACACCACAGAGCACTGTTCTGGGCGATAGAGCAAAACTATGTCGAAAAGAAAGAAAGAGAAAAGAAAACGTAGGATAAAATATCTGAAGTTTGTGGCCGGGTGCAGTGGCTCACACCTGTAATCCCCTTATAACCTTGTAATCAAGAATTGCTTGAACCCATGAGGCGGAGATTACAGTGAGCCGAGATCACGCCATTGCACTCCAGCCTGGGCAACAAGAATGAAACTCCGTCTCAAAAACAAAAAAAAATATTGAAGTTTATTTAGTGTCATATAATTATCTATACACATAAATCAAGAAAGTACAAACCATTTCTCCCATGTCTGAATGACCACTGACCATGCTTTGTCTGCCACTCCCCTAGAGAAAGCACTGCGGAAGGGAAACCCTCCAAGTGAGATATACAAGGGAAGTGGGGCGTGAGCACAGCCAAGTGAGGTATACTTCTTACAGATCTAGGATAACCAAAATACTACAAACTGAACCAATGTAGAAAATCTATAAAGTGATTTACCTCAATTCTTATTAATGCCTAGATCGAAATGTCCATTAAGTTACATGTAAAAGAAATTACTTCAAATCAACTTAGTAAAATGATCCTGTGGAGACAATTTGGAAAATCTAAACATAACCCAAAAATTCAATGATACTGCAGAATTACTATTTATTTTATTGTATATAATAATGTTATTGTGGTTATATATAATGACCTTAAATTTTTAGAGATGTATGCTGGAAGTTTGCTTTCAAATGTATTAGCACAGAAAAAATAATACATGAAGCAAATATAGTAAAATACTAGCACACAGAGTGTAAAATTTAGGTTGATAACTATTCTGGTGGTTTATTATACTATTTCCTGTTTCATGCAAGTTTGGAACTTTTCATGTAAAAAAGAAAAGCATTGATTCTAAGAGGAACATACCTCATTCAGTTCTCTCTTATCCAGATTATTCAGGTGAATTTTGGTCCAATATTTGTCTAGCAAAGTAGCATGACTATTTAGCGGTCTATACCAATTTCCTCCACAGCTCAAGAGTCTACGATTCAAAATAAAAAACACAGTCAAACAAAACTCCAAATTTTAATCCTGAATTATGCCTCTGGATATTACTTGCTGTACATTGTCTCACATATGAAGAATACTCATAAACCCTCTGTTTCCAGATACTACACTGTTGGGCTTACAGAGCAGATGAGAAATGAGAGGCTGACAGTTAACCCATGTTTGGCTCTTCTCCTAAAAAGGAGTGATAGTGCTTTAACCAAGTATTTTCAAATCACTGCAAATGATTCTAAAAGGTAAAAGTTTTTATTTCAATGACATGTTCCTCTTCCTCAGGGCATAAATAACCTCAGGAAAGAGAAAACACACTCTAAGGTCCATAGCAACAACATTAAGTTCACAGCTTGTTACCAGAAGCTACAGTACTTAAAACCATTAAAAATTTCCAGTGGAGAAGGAATATACGTTAAACATACACTCTGGGAAGTGTACATGCTTATCAGTAAGCCACTTAATTCTCACAACTGTCCTGAGAGGAAGATACCATTCTTTTCTTCTGACATAAATGGAAGAGATGGAAAGCATGGCCCTTGTACACTCAACTATGACTGCAAACAGCATAACTGAAAATTAAATTCAAGTTTATTGGATTACAAGTTTGCCTAACATCTTTCCATGATGTCCCAGGACTTTCTGGGAAGTGTTTGAATCTACCAGGAAAGAACCTCACTATCTCTATAAATAAAATCAAGGTCAGCCAGGCTTGGTGGCTCATGTCAGTAGTTCTAGCACTTTGGGAGGCCAAAGTAGGAAGATTGCTTGAGTCCAGGACTTTGAGACAGGCTGGGCAACAAACTGAGGCTTCATCTCTAAAAAAACATGAAATAGGACAGATGCAGTGGCTCACACCTGTAATCACTGCACTCTGGGAGGCCGAAGAGGGTGGATTGCTTGAGGCCAGGAGTTCAAGATTAGCCTGGGCAACATGACAAAACCCCGCCCTTACTAAAAACACAAAAATTAGCCAGGAGTCATGGCATG